TTTTAACAAACCACTTTTGAAAGCATATTAAGTAAGTGGCATACTGCAGAATAACAACTGAATATTTGATAAATCTAGCTATACTGATCATATCAATATATGGAGGGCCATGTATACCAACTTGGAAGCTCTAAAAGAAGCAAAAAACCTCTGGCAGACACCAAGCTGGAAGAATAAAAAGTTGCTGCAGGAAGTAGAAAGCGGTCTTTGTATAATTAGAAAATATAGTAGATCTTGTATAGTATAGGAGAGTCGTATTCTATCTCAGAATTTGTAGATAGAGTTATCAATTAGTTCTAATATAAGGAAAAATTACAATTAGATTGTTAGGGTGAGTGTTATTAGAAATAATATAGCACAACTCATATACTATATACTAATGTAATTCCTTAATTGAAATTAATAAAGTCATAGTGCTATAGCAATTTAAAAAAAAAAAAGATATAAAATATAATATTTTATTAATTTTTGTAGTATATGCACTTTTAAATTTTTTTTAATATTAATGGTGAGGCCATGCCTCTATCTTTATTGAATATTTAATTGAGATTATTACATAAAGCACTAATCTACTTTTAAAATATTATAAGAAGAATAGAGACTCAGACTAGTTTATCTGCGGCCTAAATCAAGCACTTTTAAATTTTAAAATATCAACATTACATTATTTGATATTATGTTTTGCATAATATAATATACATAATGCAGAATGCGCATCTTTGCTCAATACAAATTATTATAAGGACCTCTTTATAGTATAAGTTGTAATCTTTTTTGTATTTCTATATATAAGATATCTTTAAATAACAAACATATAAAAAGAAAAAAACTATATACAGTTAATTTTCTATAATAAACTAAAAATTTTATAGTAAAAATTTTTATAAGTTTCTTATAAAAATAATTTATTATATTTCTATACTAAACTCTATAATAAAATTGTTAATAAAAGTTTATTATAGAATAGGTTTTTTATAATAAGTTTAAATATAAAAAGAACTAGCTATTTACTTTTTTATAAACTAGTTTCTTTGAGGTTTAAGTTTTTATTCAAATATTGTTAAGTAAAGAATTTGCAACTAAAGCTTTAAAGAAACCTCCTTATATTAGAGAGTATATACTAGCTATATGTAAATTTTTAGTATCTAATTTAAGTAATTACCTACAATTTACATTATAGATTTTATACTAGATATCATGTCTATAACCCAAACTACAAGTATTACCTATTTAAACTCTCTGTAATGCAACTCTACTTGTATCACTAATATATTTACATCAGTTAAGAAGTTCTAAATGCTAACCATTTCTCTTAAAATTAATTTATCTTCAAGATAGTATTTCTATAAACTGAACTAAAATAAACTTTTGGTCAAATTCAAGTTCAGTACAAAATTGAACTGAACTTGAACTTGAACATTTTTTAAAAAAAGTTTAGTTTAGGTTCAATATTGAACTTTTAAGTTAAATTCAGATTTAGTTTAGATTCAGTTCAAAAGTTTATAAATATGTTTAAGTTTAATAAATTATATATATAGGCAAAAATTAATTGGTAATCCATCACATTGTGATTGATTCTTATATGATTAGCCAATCATTTTTGAGATTGCTGATCACATATAAACAATTGATAATCAGTTTTTTGTTTTTGTTGTTCTTTTATTTTAATCTTTGCTTTAGGATCAGGTATGTGCTTTTTTGTCATTTGCTTTTTTTCACTATTTTGCTTGTTTTTCTTTAACGTTTTGTTTTTTTACCAGCTTGTTTTTCTCACTGCTTGGTTTTTTTCTTTGCTGTTTAGTTTTTATTTTTACCTTTTTTTTGTTTTTTTTTGTTTTGTAATTTTTTTTTCTTCACTGTTTTCTATTTTTTCTTCTTTACTTTTCTTGCTTTTTTTCATTTTCATCTTTTTTTTTCTTTTTCGCTTCTTTTTATTTCTATTTTTATTTTTATTTTTATTTTTTTTCACTGTTTCTTCTTATATTCTATTCTTTCTTCTCTTTCTTTTCTTTTTTTCTTTTCTGTTTCTTTTCATTTTTATTTTCTTTTTGTTTTTTTTTTTATTAGTTTTTTCTGTATTCCATTTTTTTTCTTTATTTTTTTTCTTTTTTTTTTTTCTTTTTCATTCCTTTTATTTCTTTTTTCTTCACTTTTCTTTTTTCTTTTTCTGCATTTTTTTTTCTTCACTTTTGTTTTCTTTTCATTTTTTTTTTCTTTTTTTTTGCTTGTTTTTTTCATGTATTTTATTCTTTTTCATTTTTATCTTTTTTTTCTTTTGCTCTTTTTTTTTTTTTTTCTATTTTTTTTCATTTCTATTTTTCTTTTCATTTTCTTTTTTTTTTCTTATTTCTTCTCATATTCTATTCTTTCTTTTTTACTTTTTTATTTTTTCTTTTTTTTTTTGCTTTTTTTTCATTCTTTTTTCTTTTTCATTCTTTTCTTCTTTTCTTTTTTTTTTCTATTTTTTTCAATTTTTTTTTTTCCTTCATTTTCTATTTTTTTTTCTAGTTTTTTTTTCTTTATTTTTGTTTCTTTTTACTTTTTTCCTTTTTTTTCTTGTTTGTTTTTTTTTAATATTCTACTCTTTTTTTCTTTATCTTTTTTTCTTTTCTCTCTTTTTTTTTTCTTTTCTGTTTTTTGTTTTTAGTTTTTTTTTAATTTCTTTTTTTCTTTTTCTCTGGTTTTTCTCATATTCTATTCTTTTTTTCTTTTTTTTCTTTTTTTTTTCTACTTATTTTTATTTTCACTTTTTTTTGTTTTTTTTTCTTTTTCTTTATTTTTTCTTATATTTCATTTTTTCTTCTTTATTTTATTTTTTCTTTTTTTTATATTTCTTTTCTATTTTTTGGTTCTTTTTTTCTTTCTTTTATTTTCTTTTTTCTTTTCTGCATTTTTTTACTTTTGTTTCTTTTATTTTGTTTCTTCACTTATTTTCTTTTTTCATATATTCTACTCTTTTTTCTTTTTATTTTTTTCTTTTTCTTTCTCCTTTTTTTTTTCTATTTTTTGTTTTTATTTTTTTTTCTAATTTTTTTTTCTTTCTTTTCTCTGCTTTTTCTTGTATTTTATTTTTTCTTTTCTATTTTTTTCTCTTTTTTTTTTCTTTTTTCTTTTTTTTTTCTTTTTTCTTTTCTTTACATTTTTTCTTTTTTGCTTCTAACCTTTTTTTTTTCTTTCCTGTCTTTTTTTTTTCATTAACTTAACTAACCTACTTTTTTTTTCTATAAGTTTAGCTTTCTTAATCGTTTTTGAACTGTTGTTCTTTGGAGTCGTTATTCTTGGAGTAATAGTTTTTTAGAGTCATCATTCTTTAAAGTCATCATTCTTCAATTTTGGAGTTATTACTTTGGAGTCAGTGTGTGTTTGGTATATTTAAAACTTTGTTGCTGGAAGGTTTGTGCTATTGAACTTTCATCTCTGGAGTTTTATTTTTGGTTTTCTGTACTGTTAGAACTTTTGTTACTATTAATATTTCTATTGAATTGTTGCTTAGTGGATAAGGGTGGGTGGGTTTTTAAATGAAGTTGGTTAGATATTCGTTGTATAATAAATTTTTTATTACGAAATGACGTTTATAATTTGTTTATTTTGTAAATTTTTTTTTGTATAGTGCCGAAAGCTTTAACTCTACAAAAAAATTAACTTAACAAAAAATATTACTAATTTTTAAAAATTTTATAAAATATAAAAATAATCTACAAATTTTTTTCTTTCTATCTTTAAAAATAAAACTTGTAGTTTAAAATTTAATTTAAGATTAAATTAAAAGAGCAGTAGTTATTCAAACTTGGGACATTTTATTAAAAAATTATAAAAATGTGAACATATAAATTATATTAAAATTTTGCTTTAACCAATCAAATTGCTTAAAAATTCACATGACTATAATTAGAATTTTTAATTTATTATAATATATATCTTTTAAAACACCACAATATTATAGTAAAAATACTAGTTTTTCTAAAAAACTAACAATATATATCAAAAAAATTTTTAACTCTATAATTTTAAAATATTTTATATAAGATGAAAGACAAAAGCCTTAGCGAAATGATAAAACCTTAGTAAAGAAAAAAGTTTCAAAAAAAATATCTCAAAAAATTAAGTTTAATTTTAATTTTAATATTTATAAACATTAACAAATAACTTATATTACAATCTACTCTTTAAATTTGTCATCATTCTGTTCCACACCAACTCCATATCTATAGCAAATGGCAGTTTTAAAACTTCTTATAAAATTATCTGTCGTAGTTGACTTTAAATAATACACAAATGCTTTGGCTTATTTATTTTAATTCTAATTCCTAAATAATAACAAAAGCAACTTGATAGAATCCATTAGAATTATTGTCTTTGCGGATTTTTGATACTTAATAAATTCCTTGTTATTATTTTCCACTCCAATTCTGTATCTATAACAATAACCAAGCCAGAATCTTTTATCTGGATTATTCTTATTGATTGATTTTTGAATTTTAATTGATTGAGAACAAGTGACCTGAATAATTTTATCTGATAAATCATTTTGTATTAGACTTTTAGACACAATAAATTATCTTAATTCAGTTAAAATGCCAAATACAATACTTTTAATGAAGACTCTGAGACCTTAATAAAGAATAAAACCCTGAAAAGGCAAAGCTGACTAAAAAATAAATATAGTTTTTAATAATAGCATTGTGGTTTTTCATTTATATTAATAAATTAATCTGTTAAAATATATCTGTATATACATGTTATTAAAAATCTTGTGCTTGTTAAATCTAAAATTCAGAACACCAATTGATATATATATTTTTTTTAAAAAAAATAAATAAATAATATTAGCATTAAAGTATAATAAAATCATCAAAATATAATGAAATCATCAAATTTAGAGTATAATGAAATCATCAAATTAGGGAATAATGAAGTTATTGAATCAGTAATTTCCAATTTTTTTTTTTAAAAAAAAAAAAAAATTTAAAATCCCATCTTGCCAATTTATAATACCAATCATGCCTCACCCAAATTCCAAGTCTCGTATTGCATCTAGCAAACCACATACCAAAACAGGTACTTTTGAATTCAATCCCAGGATGTGGAGGTGAAGGAATTCGTTGAAGTTCTGGACAATTAGGAATTATTAAAATAACAGATAAAGATTTTCAAAATCATGCTCTAAAAGCTATAAAATGGCATCAAGAAGCAGATAAAAAAATAAAATCTGCTTTTTATACTGGTATATAATTCATAAAATAAAAGGTTAATTAATACAGTGCATTATACTTACAAATATAATGTTTATAAAAACCTCTAGAACTAACCTTTGAAAAAAAAAAGCCTGTGAACAGCTTCAACAAGAAGCCAAAAAAATGAAAACTCTTAATGAAATGTGAGATACAGTGATACATAATCAAGAAATATATACTATATCAGAAGAATCATCTATATCATATCATAAAAATATTACCATCCAATCTCAGCAACAAAGACAACTAATGGAAGAACAATATAATAAGTTAAAAAAGCAACTTCGTGGTCTTTAAAATACTAAAGAACAAATAGCAAAAATGCAACCTTATGACATACAAAGGTTGTCATCTATTTGTCAATATTTTAGGTTGCTTTTAGAAGGAAAAAAAAAATAGAAGCATCAGAAGAGGTTGCAGAAATTTTTTGGAAAGGCATTTGAAGTACTGAATACATGTCCTGCTGTCTTAAAGGATGGACAAAGGATTATCTTGTTCAAGGTTCCTTACCTAGTCACTAGCAAGGGAAACATGCAAAAAGAATATCGTTACTTAATAATAAAGACATTAAGTTGGCTGCTTGTAGATGGTTATGCTCAATTCACCCAAAAAATCATTCTCCTTTAGCACTAAAAAAAGAATTAGAAGAAACTATTTTTTCTAAATTACTTGGAGTGCCAATTACTATTTCAGAACCAACCATACGAAAGTTCATGTATTTGTGGAGATTTTACAAAAATACTATAGAAAACAAGTAGAGTTTTTTTTTTTTTTTTATACTTATCTATTATAAAATTTTTAGATCTATTTTGATGGCCACAAGTGAGAAGATGTAAAAAAATATTGTATAGAATGGGTGTTAAGAATGGTGAATTATAGAAAAAAAATAGAAGACTATAATGGTGATGAAATGAAGATAATTATCTCACCAGAACAGCTTGAAATTTGGGATTCTCGCCATGTATTAGTTACCCATGATGAAGTATATTTCTATGCTAATGATGATAATTCATCCTTTTGGGTTGAAAATAATGAATCTTTCATTATGAAAAAAGGTTTAGGGTCTGCAATTATGATTAGTGATTTCATATGTGCCTGTCATGGTTCTCTATGCCTTACTGAAGCAGATGCTAAACGACTTGGACTTGATCGAGATGTTTGTGTTATCATCAAACCTGAGCACCAATCTGATAGCTATTAGAAAAGCAAAAACATGATTCAGCAACTTTGTGATAAAGCAATTCCTATTTTTAATTTCCTTCATCCAGGATACATAAGCACAGTTTAAAATTCATACTTTACTAATTTCTTTAATATTATCTTATTATTATCTTTTTTTTTTTTAATCATTACTTTTTTTTTTTTTCTAATCATTACCTTTTTTTTTCCTAATTATTACCTTCTTCTTTTCTTAAAAGGTATATTTTGTTTTGATCAAAGCATGAACTATAATGCATATATACTTAATGCGCTTGTAAGTTCCAGAATGATGCTTTACCCAAAAGTTAAAAACCATTTTACATTTAAGGATGGTTGGTTTATTCGCGACAACAAAAGTCATATAGCCAATGTTTTTTTTGGATAATGATGTTATAAAGTTTAAGGGAATCAAAACAGTATAGTTAGTAAATTTTTTTTTTTTTTTTTTAACAATTTCCTCCTTTGTATATTAGATTCTAGAAGAATGTAAATTGTGGACAGGTCAACTTTTGGATTGTAAAAAAAAAGATAAGGATGAAAAAAGTAAAAATTAAAATTATTACATATTTTCCCATATTTAATTAATATATAACTTACTTTTATTTAGTTTCAAATTGTTGTGCAAGACACACACTTATGATGCAACTAGATTTTTTGGAACAGAAAACTGCATTTGCAGAAACAGTTGAAGCTGCAGACCATATTTTTGAATTGTATTCAAAGTTTCATTGCGAATGTAATTTTATCGAACATTTTTGGGGTGCTGCAAAGTGAATTGCCTAACAACAATACGACTATTCTTATGCTCAACTACAAAACTGTGTACCTGAAATACTTAATAGCATTTCATTACCTATGATCAGGAGATTTAGCAAAAAGGCTTGGAGGCATATGCGACAGGTTTAGATAGATATGATGCAGAAAATACTGTAAAGCAATTCAAATCACATCATCGGCTTTTAGTAGATGATTAAATAGTATATTCATACATTGCTTATTTATACTCACTTATAAAATAAAGCACATCGCTTATCTATACTCATTTATAAAATAAAACCATTCATAAAAATCTTTGCTTTATAAATTTTATTATTGTCTTGTAGTTTTAATAAAATAATAAATATTTAACATACTGTATAATACATGAATAAAATCAAGGCTTTCAACTAGAGACAGATAAAACAATACGTAATATGTTTGTCTTGACTGGAAAAAAATAAATCTTCACACTGTTTTCAAAAACAATAAATTTACTATATACAATTAACGTGTGAACTTATATATTAAAGTAAAATATAAGAAGTATATACGTACATATGTACAATAAAAAAAACCAAATAATATTGAAGGATAGCATTATTACTATGCTTATTATTCTTGTGGGAGTTTAATGATTCGAAAGAAGCTTTGCCAAGCATTGTGCTATTGGCTTCGATTTGTATATTGTGGGTTTGAAAATATATACGTATGTATGTACTGTATATATATATGTACTTTACATACTTATACAACCTTGCAATATAATACTGCATTCTTGCATAGAAAGGTTATTGTATTACCTGCTACATGCTAAATTTGTAGTATGGATTTGTGGCATCCTGATTGGTTTAAACTGTATCACCTGATCTTTGGAAGAAAGTGAACAAAGTCACATGATTAACAAGTTAAAGCTTTCGGCACTATATTTTTTTTGTATTTTAATAGGCGATTCTCTAGTCACCTAGTTCAAAATTTTTTTTTTTATATATAAATTTTACTATAAGTGCGAATGTGCAGTGTCCCTATCTAAAACTTTTTTTTTACTAAGTAAATCACTCTTGGGCTTCTAACAGAAGTTGTAAAGCTCATCAAGATGCATCTAATAGTGAAAGAACATTAAAATTGGCTTGGTAGTTCTTGAGTTATCTTTTTTTCTTTTTTTTTTTTTTTTTTTTTTTTTTTTTTAAAAAGCGAGGTTTTGCCTCAGTTTTTATTGATAAAGTTATGTGATTACATTTACAAAGAAAGGCATAATATATACTCTAAAGCTAAAACTAAGACTTGGGCTACTTTACCTACGACCCAAACTTTACCAAGAGGGGCCAAAGCCTCGCCTAGATTACGATTTGGGAGAGTTTTTTAGGGGATGTATTATTTTGTATGAATGATTTGACCAGCTTGCAACTTTCTTTCTAGCTATTTTGTCGATATCTGCTTTAGTATTATCGGTACTTGTGGTAGAGTTGTTTGTGGTATTTGGTATGTTTGAAGGTATTGGAGTTGTTATATAGTTTGCAGCGTTTTGGCATCTAGGTATCCAGATATTCTTGTAGATTGATTTGTTGATCTTGTGTAGGATTATTGTAATAGGCATATGTTTCCTCTGGGCTGTTTTAAGTAGGTGATTGATTGTAGTTTTTTGGATTTCTGATGTGATTCCTAGTAGGATATCAGGTGAGTGACCGTTGTGTATGATAGTCTCTGGTATTTGCATCAGATCAGATATTTGTTTTTTTGTTGCCTCTAAAGCTTGTGCTTTGGTACAGATTTTTGTTATTACTTGCTGAATAATCTGAGCAATAGTGAGAGTATTTGCTGGACAGAAAATCTAGTGTGTATTAGTTTCAGCTTCGGTTGTGCATCTTGGGCAGTTTGGGCTAGGGTATTTTTTAGGGTTGCGAGTATTTAAATTTGAGAGTGTTAGTAGTTCGTCGAGTAATAGTTTAACCTTAAAGGCCTTAATCTGAGATTGTTTGGGGTAAGTGAACCTTGTTGTTGGTTTGTCGTGAAAGTTTAGATAGTCATGCATTGTGTCCCAGGATATCTGTATTCTGTTTGTGTTCTATCTTTCCATTCTGTTTTGTGAGTGCCATCTGGCTATATGCTGTGCATTTTGGATATGTCGAATAAATCGTCGAGGTTTGTGTATGATGCAGGCCTGTTGCCAGTGTGCTGTAAATATGTCTTGGCGGATATAAGTGTGTATAATATCAAGACTCATGGTGTTGGTGGAGGATTGTGTAGTATTAGAGGGACGGTTTATAAGTGCCATGTTAATAGTAAGGTCTTTTTTGGTGATAAGAGCTTTGAGAGTAAGCCAGTTGGCCCATAAATAAGTAGAAAACATAGATGCAGTATTGTGTGCAGGTATGTTGAGAATATTGTTAGTAAGTTGTATAAACTTTGGATCGTCAGTGTAGATTGTGAGGTGGGTGTTTGTATTTGCTATTAGTGCTATGCTAGATAAAGCGTCGATTTGTGTTTTGTTTTTTGAGGGCCAGGTAGAGGTAGTTTGGCAGAGTTTGATTTCGGTTTGGGGTATGTGCCATACTGTAGTATGAGTTTTGCCATCAGGTGTATCTGTGCTGTAGTACGTAAGTATTATGTTGATTGTACTTTTCTTTGAGATTTGTTGATGTATTTTCCAAAGAGCTCGGGCTGCTTCCGCAGAGTGTATTGTTTTACTAATATCCTCGTAAATGGCTAATTCTCTTTGATTAGCAGTGGGCTTGTTAGGTAAGGTATTTGCTAATATAGGATTTTTGGCAGTAGTAAAAGAGCTGTAGTTTATGATATCAGTAATATTGCCTCAGATTCTGTGTTTGCAATCAACTTGGATAGTAATCAGTTGGTTGAGTAGTTTGGTAAAAGTGCATTTTTTCTTCTGTAGTGTTGGGTTGTTAACTTTGCAACCAGGGCAGGGCTTTAGTGTGTTGTTAATAGGATTGAGCTTCCAGTGGTGTATTGTTGCTTTGTTCTGTGATATTGATATTATTTTGCCAATCATAACTTGTGAGAACCCACGATTGTTTTGTTGCTGTAGCTGTTTGAACTATATAGGGGTTTGGTTTGATTAAAGTGATGTTGTTTGTTTTAATTTTTTCTTGTATGATGTTTGTTAGCTTGGCGAACCATTTTGGTTCTCTTCCGTGTGGAATCTTTTGTATTGTTTGAGGAAGGTGAAACCA